GGGTAGGAGCTGGACGTGTGGGCCGAGTGACTATACTCGGGCTCAAGTTTCGGTGCCGGAGGGTCGCAAGTCAGGAGCGATCTGGAGCGACCCGGGCAGGAGTTGGACCTGTGGGCCGAGTGACTATACTCGGGCTTAGGTTTCAGTGCCGGTGGGTCACAAGTCGGGAGCGATCTGGAGCGACCCGGGTAGGAGCTGGACTTGTGGGCGGAGTGACTATACTCGGGCTCAAGTTTCGGTGCTGGTGGGTCGCAAGTCGGGAGCGATCTGGAGCGACTCGGGCAGGAACTGGAAGAAGCGTTGCACCTTCCAACAACAAAGGTTGGAAGAAGCATTTCTTCTTTGTTAGTTGTAGTAAAGAGTGGGGCTTTAGCACTGGGTGGGCCTTCCGGACCATCGATAACGCCTCCCCGTTACTCTCTAATGGAGAAACAGCGGTCGTGGATCGACTGAGGGGTATCCTATCCTCTTCTCGAGCAATTAAGGAGATGACCGAGGAGTGGATGGTTGAAGCGGAGTTGAGCCCCACCACCGGGGGTATGGCCATTCATATATGATGGCTCGTCCACTTGTCTCGAACCATCTGATCGCTCGCTATGTTTTGCAGAAATGGTGGACCTGCGATCGATGAAGAAGATGCCCAGCGTCAAGGTTGCCGTGCCCTCGTCTCGGGACGGGGAGGGTTCCGGAGGTGGGGTTTCCCCACTGGAGGGCACACCGAAGAGGGCGTCGGCATCTCCAGCAATGGGGCGCCCTCCGAAGAAGATGAAGACCTTGGCCCGGAAGAGGCTTGCGGGCCCGGTTGTTAGCACGAGCGCCATCCCAGAGTTGTGCGGGGCCCCTCCCCCGGGCGAAGGCTCGGGGAGCGTGAAGGGGAAGGGGTCGGTCGGGTCGTCCGGTAGTGACCCTTTCAAGAGGGCGTCGACGCGCCCGCCATCGATACGAGAGCTATGTTGCATCTACTCCCGGGCCGACGGTGAGGAGTACCAGGCCTTGAAGATGGCCGACCTTCCGGCTAGGGAGTCGGGAGCCCCCTACACCACTCGGTGGGCGACCCTCAAGGCCGACAGTCACATCTGGGGCGACGGGCCAACTGCCCAAGAGTTCATCCGGGGGGCACTCCATCTAGCCATAGCCAAGGATCTCTACAGCTCCCCCTCCGAGGCCCTGGCAGAGCGGGCAGCCAAGTCGCTTGTTTGGGTAAGTGGTGGCTTCCTTTCCCTGCTCGATCCCTTCATGTGTGGGCCCTAACATCGATCTTCGTGTAGAGCCTGTACTATGGCATGGCGCTGATCGACCGGGTCCTCGACGTCGTGTCACGACCTTAGCTGGAATTGCCTAAAGCATGAAGCACCCTTGCGGCAAAAACGCGAACTTAGCTTGCGTTGCCTAAGTCGCGAGGCACCCTTGCGGCAAAGACGCGAACTTAGCTTGCGTTGCCTAAGTTGCGAGGCACCCTTGTGGCAAAGACGCGAACTTAGCTTGCATTGCCTAAGTCGCGCTTCGCCCTTGCGATTTACGTCTGTAAAGATCAGCCCACTTGCAACCTCTCGCAGGTCCCGAAGGACCTGTAAAAAGAGAAAGTTTATTAGGTCGAAGAATGAGCGATGGACAAGTCCCCACATCTCGCGAAAAGGGGAAGCTTTACAAGCAATTCAGCGAGCACCTTGCGTGCACAAGAGAAAAGAGGGAGAGGGGGAAAACAAGGACTTTAGAAGGTTGAACGAACAGCTGTAAGTCCACAAACATCTGCTCACCCGGTGCCGGGCGTGACAACAAGTTCCCGTCAAGGTAACGTGCGAACTTGCGAAAGATTGTTCAACGCCCGACACTATACCGAAGCCCCATCCAGCCCTGTGCCACCTGGGGGGTTCCAGGGTGCTAAGATGGCTGACGTTTTGCATGTAGCAGTGGGCTGCAGAAATCAGCTCGTGGCACTTGAAAACGGAGTTGTTTTGGGGCTGTTTTGCTCGGTTCGGTGAGCGGTCACACTATAGCGTTGTAACTTGTTCGAACTTACATTTTTACAAGCAAAAGGACTTAAAACCAAGCCAAAACATACTGCCAAGAAGCTGTACATGTAGACGAGAGTGACGAACGGTTCGTTGAACGGAGTTGTTGCAGGTGCACGACAACCGTTCGTGACATTCTCCCCCACTCAAACTGTCGACGCCCTCGTCGACGCTTGTTAATAGTTGTTGATAATTGCTTCTTCATGTCGTAGGGCGTCTTTAGGCTCCCAACTAGCTTTAGTTCGGGGAAGCTTTCGCCACTTCACCAAGCAATCGGGTTGCTCAACTCCAGTGGGTAGCTTTATCTTGCGGTCCGCTAGAATGGTTTCAACTCGCTTCTCGTAGGAGGCTGTGGTGGGGGGTAACCGAGTTGGAACACTTTGGGAAGCATCTTGCGGATCCGAGTGGTAGGCTTTCAAGTTGCTGGCGTGAAGAACATTGTGAATTTTGAACCACGTCGGCAATTGCAACTTGTAGGAGACGTTGCCCACCCTGCTGATAATTGGGAAGGGCCTTTCGTACTTGCGCACCAATCCTTTATGTACTTTGTTCCTGAAGAATTGGAGTGATGCTGGTTGGAGCTTGACCACCATCAAATCGCCGATCTTGAACCCTTGCGGTCGCCTTCCCAGGTCTGCCCACTTCTTCATTATTTTTGCCGCCTTCTCCAAGTAAGCCCGCGCAATATCTGCATTTCGGTGCCACTTCCTTGCAAAGTGGTAGGTTGACGGACTATTCCTAGTATACCTAATTACCATGGTGTGAGGAGTTGACGGTTATTGCCCCTATAATAATCTCGAAGGGGCTCTTGTTGGACATAGAGCTCCGCTGCAAGTTGTAGGAGAATTGGGCAATGTCCAACAATTTCACCCAATCTCGTTGGTTGTCACTCACGTAGTGCCGAAGATATTGCTCTAGGAGTGAGTTTATCCTTTCAGTCTGGCCATCCGTCTGGGGGTGGAGGCTTGTGGAGAAGTATAACTTCGACCCCAACAATTTAAATAGCTCGGTCCAGAATCGTCCCAGAAACCGAGCGTCTCGATCACTAATGATATTGTGCGAGACTCTCCAATACTTCACCACATCCTTCATCATCAGCTTGGCTGCCTCCTCTACTGAACAGTGTAGGGGAGCAGCAATGAAAGTTGCATACTTAGAAAATCGATCGACCACCACGAGTATCGATCCGAGTCTCCCTACTACGGGCAAGTTTGATATGAAGTCCAAGGAAATGCTCTCTCATGACCT